ACAGTACTATGCTTAATGCGACTTTTGTTTTGGTTTGTAAGATGATCGAGTGGGTACAGGGTTCTTAAGGATGCCGGTGTTGTGATTGTATAGTTGTCCATAGGGCATTAGCGTTCATTTGCAGCAAATAATCTATAACTTAACTTAAATCAAACATAAAAAACACAGGTATCCACTATCGTAACTGTCTTGGTCATGTTGACCTTTATATACATCGAACAAGGCAATGACACTGACGTACATTAAAATATCTTAAAACCATTCAATGAAATTACAGATTTCACCAGCTCTCACTTGTAGCGTAGGTTGTTTGTCTAAATTAAAGAGATGTCTTCCTTTCATTCTTCCCCGCCCTTAAGGCGGGGAAGTATACGGGAAACGTTAAATTTGTGGCATGTATGTCGACATGTTGGTTTATTTGAAATTTCAAGCCACGCATTTACGGAAACAAAACATACAAATCATGTGCGTCGAATGTTGATGCTATTCTTTTCCAGCAATAAGAGATACTTCAAAATCGTCTTTATGTAGTTAATTGATGCATCTGACCGTTTCTGGTCATTAGCTGACATTATTAAACCATTCATGTGTAATCCGATGTCCTTTTTTCCTCAAGGACTAATTTTCTGATTTTCACGGTGTATACAAAAGAAGAACTGTGCTCCGGAGATCGTAAATAACAGCATAATAAAAATTATGTTCTGAATATGCTTATTCCTGAACAACGACGACATCTCAATTTAAATGTAATATGGCTGAATTCCATATTCTACGTACCACATTTTTGATTGTTTGGATGCTCATGTTCACTGGAAATATTTGGAATAGTTATATTCCGTATTCTGAATTAACCCAGTCCCCCGTGTGTGTTTTTTAATCAGTGCACCGCACATAACCACATGTGAAACGTTTGGTAGCAAAGTCAAAGCAAAATCGGAGTAGTGTGTCAGCGAATTTGCATCAAGGCTCTAGTATTTTTCAACCGTTTAACGGAATTCAATGTACAGCCGTAGGTAGCTCTGGTCATTCATATATTTTGTGTCCCATAGCTCAAATCTATTTGCGTCTGTACCGTGTTCCACTGACCTCGATAATCTGTGGGATGAAGGCACAGCTCTCTACAGCCACAAAGTTAACACCGAAGGCTATGAGGTGTATTTAGGTCATAATCAGTCCCCAGCAGCCACTGCCTCAAGCGAGATTGTCTACATAACAGATCAGTTTTATGGCTCCGTCACAGGTGCTCCAAATATTGAAACAGTAGGGAAAACAAATTTCATAGAATCATTTCAAAAAGCAATATTGATATCCCCGTCACTTTTGGTAACTTTTAATGATGTCTCCATTGCAATTTTTACGGATTTCGATTCGTATGCATTATTTGCTGTCATCAGCGGAATGGTCTTGGTCAGATTGATCCGAATGGACAAGCTGTTTTACTTCTGTTTAGTAGTATGGATGAATTGTCATGTGACATCTTAACAGTATATATATATCAGGCTACTATGCTTGTCGTAAGAGGCGTCGATCCCAATTGCTTGGATCGATGCTCATGATATTAGGCACTGGATTGTCTGGTCCAGACTCGATTATTTACAGACCGCCGTCATATAGCTGGGATATTGCTGAGTGCGGCGTTAAACGACAAACCAATCAATCATCATCATATGAACTCAAACCAGTCATTGTTACAAGTAAACCACATTCCACAACAGTTACTGACACTGGATAAAAAACAGTATATAGAAAAAAAACAAGTAACTCAACTCATCATGATCACAATTACTATTCTTTGAAAGAAAGAAATACACAAAAAAACTGACCAAAAAACGTAAAACAAGAGACGAGGAATCTCCGTTATTGATTAGCCCCGGTATTGAAATGTTCTCCAACTACGTGATAATATTTTGAGTATGTGCATCTGTGGTTGTGACAAAAAGACCTTATCTAGTATGACTTTTTTTGCCATATGGAGCCCTTAGTATTTTCATTTACATTATTATAACCAAATGCTAAGTGTAAAAAGAATGTGATCTATTTTTTGAGTAAGTTTTGATACTATTTCCACATGTTTACATTTGTGCCAGAAATTGCTTCCATTTCCTTCGATCTACTTTTTAAATAAAGACCCAGGTAAGAATAGGTCTTCAGCAACCTATGCTTGCCGTAAGAGGCGACGAACAGGATTGGGTAGTCAGGCTCGCCGATTTGGTCGATGCATAACATCATATTCCAATTGCGTAGTTCGATGCTCTTGGTGTCAATCACTGGATGATCTGGTCCAGACTGGATTATTTACAGACCTCCGTCATATGGCTGGAATAATGCTGAGTGCGGCGTTAAACAAGAAACTATTTTTAAATAGACCTACCCTATGCAAATGTATCAACTGTATTGCCCAATACTCAAAATAAATAATATTTTTTTCCACAACAGCGTTGTGTTATTTGTGGTTAATATAATTATGCTCCATCATGCCTTTCAGTAACATCATAATTATGCGTTTGTGAGGCATCACATATGGCGGGGAACTTTGATGCTCTGCATCAATGTTTTCTTGTTATATACAACGTGTGGATTTAGTTCGTGAATTAGAGTTACCTCCCCTTAGCGAGAACGTTACTTTTGTAGTCAATTGGGGACTCCAGTTTTGCTGAAACCGACCGGCTCCGAGTAATCGAGTGCTCCTTGGAGCCCTACCTTTGACGACATCTGGATAGATGTCAGAACTTAACTAAATTTAATATGTCGATTTTATTTATCTTACTGTAACGTATTAAACAATTATATTCTTTAAAAAATTCAGAATTTGCTTGAGTTTCGTTATGACATATATTGTAATGCACTCAAATACATTCCAATAAAATTTTAGATCTCTACTTTGGCTTTGATTGTGAACAGTGGTTATTTTAATTGTAAATGTTGACAGATTAGATAGCGTGGGGGTATCATATCTACTGAATTATTACTTAGATGGTGTGGAAAAGTGAAAAGTAGAGTAAAGAGACCAGATGACAGCGGAATATTTTGTCAATGATAAGGATGTGAGCTGTTGAATACTAACGATAAATAGGAATAGCCAAATAGTCCCAGTTTGTCGCAATATTGCGCGCCCTGTAAAGTGAAATAAAGTTTGATCTGCAATTTTATAAAGAATATTTTACCAAAATGATTTTTACTTTTTCGTGTGTGCGTGCGTGCGTGCGTGCGTGCGTGCGCGCGCGCCCCGGTCGGGTAGCCTAGTGGGTAAAGCGTTCGCTCGTTACGCCGAAGACCCGGGTTCGATTTCCCACAGGGGTACAATCAAGGAAATCCATTTTCCAGTGTCTCCCGGACCAGTCTTCGTTTTAGCCCCTCAATGCCGAGCGCCAGGCAGGGTAACTAGAAGTAGCACGTCTTTTGATATGACGCGGCCGCGGATCGAGCCTCGGACCTTCCGCTTTAAAACTTTAAAAACAAAATAATTTCGTTTGTGCAAGCGAACACCATGTTATGTGTTATTGATAAATCATGTTAATTTATATTAGATGATAGTTGTGCTAACTGTGTCAGTGTGCAATAATGATATGATTATGATGTAGGATTTAGCTTTTGATCACAATCACTAGAACTTGTTTGTTTTTTTAAATCAAGTCAAACGGTGTGATCATTTTGATAATTTGATAATTCAATCAACACATCAATACAATACAAGACACAGAGACAATTTGTTTTCCTTGCCAAATAACCATGATATTATGTATTTGTCTCATCTTGTGATCTGACAAAGTTGGTATTATCATGATTGGCACATCCACAAGTCAAAATATCAATTTTGGTGGCGTATTGTATTGTTAAATATGAGAAATCCGTATTTTATTGTGAATTATGGGAAATCCGTGTTGTTAAATATGAGAAATCCGTATCGTATTGTTAAATATGAGAAATCCGTATTGTATTCTTCAATATGAGAAATCCGTGTGGTAAATATGAGAAATCAGTATTTTTTTAAATATGAGAAATCCGTATTGTTAAATATGTTGTTAAATATCATGAGCTTTGATCCACGCAATTGGGACACGATGACATACATCAACCATGTCCAAATATATACCTAGACCTATATTCTCAGCCAAGGACTGGCATAAAATTAAGTTATACTTTTCGAAAGGAAGTGCTTTTGTGTCATTGATAAATGTTTGACATGAAAATAAATAAAAATTATTCCATGTTTAGACAATTACTAGAGGTGACATATTGCCAAACGCGGCTTGCGTGCGTCCGTCCGTCCGTCCGTCTGTCTGTCTGTCGGTCCGTCTCACTCACTCACTCACTCACCCAGTCATGTTCGTCTCTGCAGATATTGGCCTCCATTGGAAGTCATCGAGGATCTTCTCAAATTAAAGATCAATATACATTAAGTTTCGTGAATTTCTGATTAAAGTGCTAACGAATTAGATGACTGGTCTTCAGCAACCCATGCTTGCCTTGAAAGGCGACTTAGCTTGTCGTAAGAGGCGACTAACGGGTTCAGGTGATGAGGCTCGCTGACTTGGCTGTCTGGCCCAGATTCGATTATTTACCGGCCGCCATCATGCAGTTGGAATAACGCATAGTGCAGCGTTAAACATAACATGATGACTGGACCGTGCCCCAAACACAATCATGACATATGGTGATTGTAATGTTAGGTAGAGTTGTGTTAACTGATTGTAAACATTTTAACTGTTCATGAATTAATAACTTCCGTGAAGTCCATGAATTTGAAGTCATGTGAACCCTGGTGAACTTGACCTTGATATGGAGGTCACCAAAACTTGATGCGAACGAGAAATCTAAGTTTCGTCAAATTCCAGTCTTAAATACGCACGTTACCTGTTACATAATAGCTATGATGCATAATACATACTGAACGTCGAAAGCTACATTTAATGTCATTCAAAAATATAATATCAGAGACGGAAGTATTCAGCCTTTCAATGAAACATTGAAGCTACAGTAAAGACACTAACTATTGCAAACGCAGTTCATTTCTGTTTATTTTGTGGAAATACCAACAAATATAACCTCACATTTATAGAATCGTGCCCCTCATGCCTGCGTGCCCCATAAAACATGTGAGCATAGTTATATACACTAATAATCAAGAGGCCCACGGCGCAGAAATAATTATGCAAGTACATAACTAATGAAATTCGTGTATATACATATCCAAAACAAACAGTAATGAATGAAATGTTATACTATGGCATTAATGTGTTATGCAAATATTCTGTGTTCTTGTGTTGTTTTCAATATTCGAACTTAACATACATTCAATCACAGAATTACTGATTCATTACCTTAAATCCATCAGCACCAAGGAATGAAAACTTAAAAAACTCAACCTAAATAAATTTAAACAACATAAAATCAAATATTCTTCAGCCTCCAGCTCTGCCATATGTAGGAATACTGAAAAGTAGGTCTGTGTGTCCTGGACAACAATGTCATGATCTGGCAGTAACGACACTCCTGATTGGCTATTCCTGGAAGGTCAAGGTGAAACTGAAACTGGATGTTTTTCAGATACGTCACTATTTCGGATGATATCAGCAGTTCAAGCAACTCATATTCACACCCCTCACAGTTGATTGTGATCAGATCTATGGGGTTTGTATACACATCAACACTTTTAAAGAAGCCCTTAATTTCATGAATATAAGCAACCTCCTCCTTGGTTTTGTTCGACGCATGTTTCGCCCGAAATAGTGACGTGGCATCGTTATCTATATTCAGAAGTAAGGTCTTGTTCTCCTTGCCGAGACCAAATTTGAAAAGTTTGTATTTGGGATTATTGTTATACCGCTGTTCCAAAATAGTGTAATAACGGGGTACAGGTTCGAGAGCCAAATAATGGGGGTTGTATTTCTTGATTAGCTTAGCCGCATCTACACCAGTATATCCTCCGACTTCTAACACTCGACTGTCAGCTGTTAGATAGGAATGACTGTCGACACGATCAATCTCCATCTTGGGGCGATCTACGGACCCATATTTGGCCCTGAAACTGGCAAAGCTGGTCACGCATGTTGAAGTCCTAATTTCCTCTTCTTTGGTATGTGAAAGGTTGGCGCCACATCTGCCCGAAAAAGTTCGAAGGGGGGCATGACTGCCTTGCTCTGCTGAATGCAGGAAATTGACGGGGGATACGAAGACTCCATGCCAGACGGCCAATGTCAGACCAACAACAATACCCAGGAGGACAAGACCAAGTCTCCGCCATACCATCGGGGACGTCATATTCTTCTACAAATGAAAACAAATGTCATTCATACATAATTCGTTGTATAAACATATTTGGAACTCGTGAGTATCGTTTGACGCCGCTTTTAGCAATGTTCCAGCAATATCACGGCGGGGGTTCTAACATTATACCCATGTTAGGGAATCGAACCCGTGTTTTCGGTGTGAGGAGCAAAGGGTTTAACCACAAGGAATCCCCCATCGCCCCTGAACATATGTGAAAAAACATCATGTAGACAATGAGTAAGTTGGGTTTTACGCCTAATTTCAGCACTATTTCATACTGAGGTGAGGGGCACCAAAATAAGGTTTGACAATCAAGAGCGCTGGGATATACCCCTTAACTATCCCACTTCGTAAGATCTGACTTATAGCATAGGTCTTCAGCAACCCATACTTGTCGTAAGAGGTGATCGGGTGGTCAGGCTCGCTGACTTGGTTGATGCATGTCATCGTATCCCAGTTGTATCAATGCTCAAGATGTCAATCACTGGATTGTCAGATCCAGACTCAATTACTTACAGACCGACGTCATATACCTGGCATATTGGGTGCGGCGTTTTCCGCAACAAGTTCTACGTTAAATACTTCTTACTTAAAAGGTTCTTACTTACAGATTAGTATGAAACTGCAAAAAAACATGTTTCCCTGCTTACTGGCTCACCATGACACACGCACTACAAACGTGTCCTGGTTTTAGCGTCCTCAATGAGAGAGTAAAGTACACTTCTAATACTCCGACTCGAGTCCTTCCGCGGGCTGAGCAGATCTCGGCCTGCGGCCTCGTTCTGGTTAGGCCACCTCATGTCCTCCGGTCCTTGTTTTCGCATATTGACCTCGTCAAGTAATTATTTGTATAGTGTTGTCCCCTGTCTGGATTTTGATTGCCTAACTAATTTGCTTCCGTGTTGACCAGAAAACAATGAACGTAGCTGGGGGCAGGCAGAGTGACTTTGTATTTTACATAGAACGCAACATCCGTAGCTGGGGGCAGCCACGGTGACTTTGTTTGCCATCAGAAGGTGTAGTTAGTGAGTGAGTGAGTATAGTTTTACGCCGCTTTAAGCAATATCACGGCGGGGCACACCAGAAATGGGCTTCACACATTGTACCCTTGTCGGGAAACGAACCCGGGTCTTCGGGGTGACGAGCGAACGTTTTAACCACTAGGCTACCCAAACGCCCCTGAAAAAGAAGTACAATACCAGACTTGGTCATCAGAAGATGTCACATGCCCCTGCCCCCCTCAACCACTCGAAAGGACAAATCATCTGATTCCTGCAGCAAGTCCTACATGAGTGATCTGACAAAACAATACCTCACTAAATTCGCGAGACCGAACCGTATCCTAAATACAATTAAAATATGGTCTAAAAGTAAACAAAATCCTTTAGAGTGAAGGGTATTTAGCTTGTTATCACAGTACAGTTCAGGCTCGCTGACTTGGTTGATGTATGTCATTGTATCCCAATTGCGTGGATCGATGCTCATGATGTCAACCACTGAATTGTCTGGTCCAGACTCGATTATAAACAGACCGCCGCCATATTGCTCAGTACGGCGTTAAACAACAAACAAACAAACACAGTACAGTTGCGAATTTATGTTGTGTTATGATTGGGGAGCTAACTGTTGTGTCGATAGTGTTAAGGGGGTTATTGAATAGGTACATTTCCTTTATGTCGCAATTAAAACAACGTTTGCGGTATCAGTATATTACATTGTGATATCATGAACTTGGAGATTCGTCCACTTTCATGTTATATAAGCAATTTAAAGAAGTATTTGGTTTCGAAAACCATATAAATAATAAAATCATAATCATTGAGATGCTCTCACGAGATGAAGACAACCATCTGCTGCGTTTTGTATTGAGACTGGTAGACACGGTGGCAATAAGATTCCGCGAGAGGCATGACTATGCACGAATTGTAAGGACAATGATTTAGAAGTTGAGTTTCGTTTGTAATTAAATGTCGATTATACGACCAGATCACGCTACATTATAAAATATGATTATAACAAGTATTTGTCACAGAAGAGACGAAATGTCCCCCGCCTGTATATACACCATAGTACCAAATATGAAGACAATCCAGCGATTACTTCTTGAGATATCGCGGCAACACCGTTTTCCAACTCCAAAAGCAGATTTACCTGCTGTGACCTTGAAAATGGGGTCAAGGTCACCAAAACCGACTGGTGTCTGCGGAGTCTGTATATACACCATAGTTCCAAATATGAAAACAATCCAGTGTTTAGTTCTTGAGATATCGCGGCAACACCGTTTTCAAACTCAAAAAGCAGATTTGCCTGCTGTGACCTTGAAAATGGGGTCAAGGTCACCAAAACCGACTGGTGTCTGCGGTGTCTGTATATACACCATAGTTCCAAATATGAAAACAATCCAGCGATTACTTCTTGAGATATCGCGGCAACACCGTTTTCCAACTCCAAAAGCAGATTTGCCTGCTGTGACCTTGAAAATGGGGTCAAGGTCACCAAAACCGACTGGTGTCTGCGGTGTCTGTATATACACCATAGTTCCAAATATGAAGACAATCCAGCGATTACTTCTTGAGATATCGCGGCAACACCGTTTTCAAACTCAAAAAGCAGATTTGCCTGCTGTGACCTTGAAAATGGGGTCAAGGTCACCAAAACCGACTGGTGTCTGCGGTGTCTGTATATACACCATAGTTCCAAACATGAAGACAATCCAGTGTTTAGTTCTTGAGATATCGCGGCAACAAACAGGTGGGACGTACGGACGGACGTACGGACGGTCGTGAATACTATATCCCCCGCTTCGCGCTTTCGCGCGGCGGGGGATAATAATAAATATATAAGTTCGTTCAACTAGTGTGAGCAGAAAATATTTATTCTCGCCACTCCATACATGTTGTAATATGATGCGAGACTAGCGGCCAACATGGCCTGTGTCAAATACAATCTGTCTGTTACTTAATAATGTAGATAATTGTCGCTTCTCTGTGTGGAATGGTAACGGGAAAATAAAAGAAAAATATGAAGTAACACTGTTCAAACACGTTAAAAATGTTATGCATAGACCATCGCTGTATTTTAGCTCAATGTTGATATGGTATTTCACCTTTGCACATCTAACCGGCAGACATGCCAAGCCCTCAAGCCACTTTCCGGGAGCATCCAGCAATACACATAACACATATTGTGGCAGAAAAAGTAACTTTTATGATAACTTGCGTTTTAATCTTTTTAAAGCAGCTTTTGTTCAAAACCTATATTTTATGATTTTAATGATGAACACAAGTGTGTATTTCTTATGGATAATAACCAACCTCAAAGCCTTTTAGCTTCAACACTTTTTAACATGTTAAAAGACCTATGCAACTGTTACTGTCTTATGGGGCCAATTAATGGTTGAACGCACTGGACACCATGTACATGTGAAATAAACATAAGATATGCTCAAGTGCGTGTGACACTTTGATAAACAAAATACTATTACAGCTATGTAATCGGGTTAACGGGCTCGCTGAAGAGAATGCACGATAAAAGCAATATTTAGTTCATGAAAAATCAGTTACATGAAGACGATTGGTGAACAGGTAACTAAACTTATATGTTACAGTCAATGTGTGAAATCAGTCAGTGTGTAAAATTCACTTAGGCAATTAATATAATGCCTAAATATTTCAGTAAATTTACAAAACGACTGGCAAATCTGTCTGTTTATGGAACAAATTGACTTAAAAATATTGAGAAGTTCCAAAAGGTTTTAAAGCATCACACTTAACTAATCATCATGTATATACCCGCAAGCAAGCCATCGTCTCCAAGTTGTCACTTCCTCCTTAGAACCATATGACGACCCCTTGCATATACGAGTATGCAAAATGTAACATTAATCCTCACACCAGCGCGTTGTTAGCGTGAAAAAATTAAACATCACAATGTCAAGAACTCGTTATCATATTAAACTAAATAAGACATATTTGAAAAGTAATTGAATTTTTTAGGCGTTTTGTGAATTGTACAAGTGAAAATTTCAGTCATTTTACACATTGACTGTAACAATTATATAAAAACAAAACATATATGTTTAACACATTTGATGTTTAACATGATACTGCTCTTCAAGCCAGACACCAGTTGTTTTCAAAATAAATAAATTTAGCAACGATAAATATAACTATTATAATCTTATTTAATCACAAATCTCTTACTGTTCTTTATAAATGTAAGAAGCGAAATTGCAAGCGATAGTTAATTTGTCACTCATACCACAAATAATTCATCAATTTAAAAACCTTGATTAAAGTAAAATGAGAAATAATGTACATTCGAGTATAAAATGTAGTAGCCGAGAGCCGCGACCTGACCATACATGAGGGCCGAGAACACCACATTCGTTGATCATATTCAGACTGTGGTGACCGATTACCCTCGTATTTTCCTGAGATTTCAGAAAAATATGTCCCGTAGGTTTATGGCTCAAAAGGTAGGTAATGTCGCTGTACTCCCAGATAATTTCCCTATCTTTCACGTACTAGTCATATTTTATTTTATAGGTAATTGGCGTCCGGAAACCTGGTCACTTCACGTTTCTACGGTAGCGAGCTGACATGTTGACACTAGGTAGCGAGCTGACGGAATACACACAGTTACGCGCACTCGCACGGAGAGAGATGGAGAGGGTGTGAGGGAGATTTTTAAAAAATGCGTCTAAGTTTACTAACCTATTTATACTGGTAGAGCCAGTTGTGCTGAAGGTTCGCAGAGACAAGAGGGCGATAGGCACCAGCGGGATGATCTCATTGTTGTATATGCTGTTGTATATGCTGTTGTGCGCAGTATTCACCACTCACTGTCACGTGTTAGATACTGTTAAGCTTGCAGTATCACACTTCCATCTACAAACGCTCGGACTGCTATTCATTTACATTGCCGCCACAACGCAGGTCACGTCGACTTTTGTGTATCAGAAGCCGGGGCGAACAACGAACCATTTTAAATCCAATAAACACTTGGAAGCAAAAGTCACTTGACATGACACACTTTAACCTCAGCTCAATTGTACAGCTGTTTTCTATCAGTTTTGAATTTGTTTTTTAATTCTTTTACAGTGTCATATTAAAACATGTCGGTCACTCGTAATGGCCCTGTCACACTACAACGTATAGCAGTAACGTATGGCGACGTGTGAGAATGTTTGCCAAAACGCAGGCTACGCTGAAACACGCTATGGATAAGTTAGGTTTAAGTTGTATATTTTAAAAGCACGTTGGTATACGTTGTAGTACGCCGAGGCTTTAAAACATTTTTGTGCATGCACAAAATTTTCGGCGTATGGGAACGTATGAACCTTTTACATATCTAGACTGCTCTCGCTTTTCGTGGTAATTTGATGAATGGGTGTAGACTACTAGTTATACTACCGCGGGGCCCGTTTAAGGCACCTTTCCCCCACGCTGAGCGCGCTAGTAACACGTTACTCATACGCTGGGCATACGATGAACACGTCAGACACACGCGGGCAATACGCTTTTATACGCTGTCATAAGTTATGTTTAAGTCAGTGATACGCTACTAATACGTTAATCATGCGTTACATATACGATGTACTCGTTTTTTATACGCAATGGATACGCCCAAATAGTGGTTTTTCGATGTCATAACAACGAATGTTGCATGGCGGTATATCACCAGTAGACACATCTGCCTTGGGCGCTGAGCTATGAGGAATCACCTGTCAAGGGCTTACCTGTTTTATCTACTCCGGTAATATGAAAGCAGCTGTTGCATGCTCTTGTTCTATTGGTTGGTTGGTTGGTTGGTTTGTTGTTTAACGCCGCACTCAGCAATATTCCAGCTATATGACGGCGGTCTGTAAATAATCGAGTATGGACCAGACAATCCAGTGATTGATATCATGAGCATCAATCCACGCAATTGGGATCGATGACATGCATTAACCAAGTCAGCGAGCCTGACCACCCGATCCCGTTAGTCGCCTTTTACGACAAGCATAGTCAGCTTTTACGGCAAGCATGGGTTGCTGAAGACC